TATTGCTCCTGTACAACGGCAAGATCCTACAATAAAGATTCTTTACAAGACAAAGAAACGTAGCTGGCAAGGTACAAGGCAATTGGCCGGCCGGTTCTGAACTATGCAGCGCCCGTGTGGTCACCGGGGACTAGTAGGACGCAGTGGCTGAAGCTACAGACTTGCCAAAACACGGCACCTCGTACAGCGACAGGATGCCTTTTGCTGTCGCCGCAACACCACCTGCACGACGAGGCCCACATACTCCCCGTTAAGGAGCATAACACAATGCTCTGCAAGCAGTTTTTAGTTGGGAGCGACAGACGTGGTCACCCAAACAGACAACTCCCTGCAGAAGAGCCTTCGCCCAGGCACGTCAGGAGGCATCTCTACGAACTGACGGGCGAAGTCCAGAGGGTTATCAAACAACCTCTGGACCCGACAGCTTATGGACAGGCCTTGAACGGCATTCACAGAGAGGCAGTCTCGAGTTATGTAGACTTTCGATATGTGAATGCTGTTCCGGGCACACAAGGAGCATACCAAAATTCTCTGCAAGCAGTTTTTAGTTTGGAGCGACAGACGTGGTCACCCCAACAATCAACTCCTTGCAGAAGAGCCTTCACCCAGGCACGTCAGGAGGCATCTCTACGAACTGACGGACGAAGTCCAGAAGTTTATCAAACAACCTCTGAACCCGACAGCTTATCGACAGACCTTGTGTGAGATGAAAAAAAGTACTGTACTGATAAAATCAGTACGTCTGGCAGCGTAACAATAGCCCAACTGCGCTCGGGTTACTGCAGCAGGTTGAACTCATACCTGAGGAGATTAAACGAGGATGTTCTAAACGAATGCCCGGCATGCGGAGAGTCGCCCCATGACTCACAGCACCTCTTCGTATGCCCTCAGAATCCCACCCTACCAACGCCCCTGTCCCTATGGACAGACCCAGTCGTTTTTCGAGAGCCGAAACGTATCGAAAATTTCATGTCATTGCCTAAAATTTCGACTAGACTAGTGTATTAAGACGGAAAAACTTGGCAGAATTGCATAGTTTTCGACGATTTTTGCCGTTTATTTATTTCAGCACGACAGTAGACAATGCCAATGTTGTCGAGTCGTACAGTTTAGCCTAATTTACGACTTACGCAATGAGGCTGATTATCAATTGATAGTTTTCCATGTAGGGTTTCTTTCTCGACGTGCCTATTCGGAACTGGTAACTAGGAGGCCATTCATTCGACCAACCCTATAGGTACAGTTTATAGCATTATTTTTTTTTATATAGTCTAAGAAAAAATACATCTAAAAAAGACATGCACTTATCTCCCAAGGGTGGAAAATGCAAATAAGGATTAAAATTTTAAAACTAATTAATAAAATTAAAGTAAAGTATTTACAAGTTTTACAGTTAATAATAAAATACTTTTTTCGCAAAATCTATATCATTTTTAAAAAAACCTGTGCGACAGTTATTATTTTACGCCCTGTACTCTGCCATTCAAATTGTGGCGAACACTACTTAGTAAACCAAGAATGATAGAATGGTGTCTTCAAACTAAAAACAAAAGCACAAAAAACGTACCAAGCACCAAACTCAAAAGTTTTCGCGTTCTGTATACTAAATTTGGTGCGAAAAGCATCAAGTTGGCAACAGTGAATGTAAACAAAAGTATTGTATGACGTCAGCGATTGGATGGATGCTGTCAAACCGACGAAGAGAGGGTTAGCGGTCCGCGAATGGCGCGGCCTTTATTTTCTGGATCGTGTTAGTAAACTAAGTTAAGTGTGATAGTAAAAAGGTGTAAGCATGGTCGTAGCCAGGTAGGTGCAGGGCACTCGGGTATACAAATCAGAAAAATAATAAAATAATAATAAAGCTTAAAAAATGGCCATACATTCTGGAAAAGTCTGGAGTTCTTTTGTGGAATTTAGTTATTTATTTTTAACATTTATTGTTGCTTTGAAAAATATATCTAAGATATCTTTGTTTGTTTGTACCTAATTAATGAAAGCGATCTCACATATGTAGTTATACATATATCGACCCCTTTGCGCAAAATTATGTTACAACAAGTAAGAAAGTCTAAGTTCGGGCGGAGCCGAACATTAAATTCCCGGCGCAAGTATTAAATATATGATTTTCACCTTTCCGAAAGCTACCGCTACAATTTTAAGTAAATTAGCGTCCTTAAATTTCGAAATACTGAAGTTTCAAGCATTTCTGAAATTTACCGTTATATGAAAAGCGGCCTCAATTTTAATCCGATTTCAATAATTTTCAACGTTTTACTTTTATGTGGCAAGCACAGTAACCACACCGAGTTTGGTAGAAAGGAAGAATTTCCAAAATTTTATCATAAACGTGTTTCTTGGTAAAAAGTTGTTACAAGCATCAGTTTTGAATAAATTAGCTTTAATATTTACTGATTTATCGAAGATTTTGTATTTCTCTAAATTACCGTTATATGGGATGTGGGCGTGGTTATTCTCCGAAATTTTCGGCCACTTGGTATGATGTACCAAGGCCAATAACTGTGCCAAGTTTGGAAGAAATTGATGCAGCGGTTACCAAGATATACACATGTGACCATAAGTGGGCGTGGCTACGCCCATTTTCCAAAAATTTATAATATTCTTATTTTTCGTCTAAAATTTATTGTAAATATCAATTTTGAGTGAATAATCTTTAGTAGTTACAAAAATATCGCAGTTTTCGTATTTCTGAAAATAACCGTTATATGGGAAGTGGGCGTGTTTACAGTCCGATTTCGCCCATTTTCAATACCATCCGTCCTACGCCCGAAAGAAGTGCACGTACAGAGTTTCGTTAAGATATCTAAATTTTTACTCGAGTTATCGTGTGCACAGGGGGACGGACAGACGGACGGACGGTCAGACAGTCACCCCTTAATCGATTTATCTTTTCATTCTGATCATTTATGTATACATTTGTCTATATCCATCTCGATTCGTTTTGCCTGTGACAAACAACCGTTATGTGAACAAAGTTATAATACCCTTGTGCACAAGTGCGCTCGGGTATAAAACCAAACCAAACAGAAAAGTGTTTTTTGTATTTTTCTCTGCTTTGGCTAGCAATACCAAAGTTCAGATTTGCTGAGATAATTCAGAAATATAAATAAACGCAAGATTTTTTTGAAGAAAAGTCTACGTTCTAATTTCTTAGCACATTGATAATTTCGCCCACACGGAAAACTTCATTGTCAGATACGACAAATTTTACAGTAAATTTTTGGGGTAGTTATTGGGTCTTAAATCGTAATATTTGAACAAGTGATGCGTTATGCGTTGTAAAACAAACTTGCATCAAAAAGTGAATTTCGTAAAAAATGTAACATACGATAATTTGCGTAAAGGGGTCGATAAGTATTTAATTTTTGGTATTGTGTAACAATAAGTTGCACAAAAAATTAAAAAACAAAATTTTACTCCCTTTTTTATGTTTGTACTGCTTTTTTTCTATCGAAAATATAAATGTACTCCTTTCTCCGTTTCAGAATCTGGCAACCCTACTTATATCTCATGAACCCATGATCCAACTTCACAAGATCTGACAACATGATGCAAAAGAAAAAAGTAATTTTCTGGCTGACGTTTGTAATTTCGGCGCCGTGTTATTTTCTTTGAAAAGTAAACAAAGAATATGAAGACGAAGCATAAAGAAAAAAATGCAAGCAATTTTGTGCTAACCAATTTATTATTTTTGTACGTGTTTTTGAAACCAATCACCGCGCACTTCATTTTAATTACATTTGCATAAAAAACTTACTGAAAATCGCTTAAAAATCACTGAAATAAACCACCGACAAAATACACATAAAGAAAGAAGCAAAACAGAAATAGCAAACTTCAAAATTACGAACGTCACACGCTTTTTTCTCAATTGCTTTTACAAATGGCTGCTTCTCAACCGGTCAGATCTGTTCTAATTGGTTCATGTAATGAACCAATTTAACAAACTGAAAATAGTTGCATTCGCGTAGTCGTTAATTATTCATGTTTAACTAAAACTTTCAGGTTTTTGCCTTTGCGTACGCAAAAAACTTGCAAAATAGGGGAAATTGAGAGAGCAAAGTGACATTTAATTTTGAGGGGAAGCTGCTGGTTTCTGCTGGAAAAACTTTTGCCAACAGTAATTTGCCAACAGGAAAACAGCTGATCAGAAACAGCTGGTTGGAATTTACTCAAATCACAAAATTTAGTTTGATGGTTTGGAAGTTAAAAATGACAAAATGCGACTAATTAAACTTGTAAGAAGTCAGTAGTTATTTGTTTAATCAATAAACTGTGTCAGTATAACACTTTGTGATGAGTTTTCGTACGTTCTAAATTTCACACTTTTGAATGTAAAGAAAAATTATATCAGCTGTTCGTCTAACTTGCAAGTTTCTGCAAATTTCCTGTTCGCGTACTGTTTTGGATATTTTTCTCTTGTGAGAGAACTGGTGACATTTCGCTGGAATTTTTCTGTTGGATGTTTTTTACTGGAGATTTTAAACGAACGCACCTAATGAAATACGACAAATGAAAGCTAACAAAATTTTCCATTTTCCGTCTATGTATACATCACTTTCCGATAGGACTGATAGTTTCTGATAAATTAATTAATCATTCCAGTTTTTTTTGATGAAAAAATAAAAATACATATCAAATTTTAAAAGGAGAAAAATTAAAAAACTAACGGCAAACAAATCAAGTTATTATTGAAGCAAATCGATGGATAAATAAAGAAGTAATGTGGTAAAATGAAAATGCGCAAAGATTTTTTGTATAAGAAATCAACAGGAAATATTGTTACTCATACACCATGTACAATTAACAAGCACGCTTTTATGCTTTTTTATTTATCCATCGATTTTCTTCGCTAAGAACTAAGGGTGGGTAATGACGCAATTTTTCCTGTGTTTATATGTTAGCGCAAGCGCAGCAGTATGTATCAGCACAATGCGCTAGCGCGATTTGCGTTATACGTGACGGAGTGGCATCCATCGCAACAAAGCAAAAAAACAGATGGCATCTTTATCAGCGAATATAATTTTTACACGCATTTTTAATTGTTACGCGCTAACTACTAATCGTTTGGGTCTGCCTGGTGGATAAAAAGTGTTTGTAAGTTTATTATAATTATGTGTATGTTTTTCATAATTTAAAATTAACATATATATATATATATGTATATTTCTAGGACTTTCGCAATGACTTCAAGAAGGAAAAGCGATGTGTGGTTGCATTTTTCCGAAGAACAGCAAAAAAAAGTAAAGTGCTTGCTGTGCGGCCAGCATTTATCTGTGACCAACAAATCGACGTGCGGCCTAATTCGCCACCTAAATAAAAAGCATCGTACACAGAGAATATCAAGACATCCAGCCGAGGAATCGGATAATAATAACAATGAGTTGCAATCTGCTGCAACAACTACACGTGTATCCTGCAACATTTCGCCACCTGCAAATTCCACACCGCCACTTGAACTTTCAACGCATACTGCCACTTCTATACCGCCACCTGCTACTTCTGCACCTCCACTTGAATCTTCTGCGTCACGTACCGCCACTTCTACGCCGCGACCTACAGTCATATCGGGATACTTTCATAGGCCACTGTTGAATAAAAACAAGAGTGAAATTGATCAACAATTAGTTAAAATGATTGTTATCTAATATCACCCATTCAGTATAGTCGAAGACGTCCAGTTTCGGAAACTTATTCATCTACTTAACCCTAATTATAGCGTTCCGACTAGGAAGACTATTTCAAGTTCACTTATACCTGCGATTTATTATAAAACATTTGAAATAGTAAAATGCCGGTTAAAAAGAGCACACGCTGTATGTCTGACTGTTGACAGCTGGACTTCGCGAGCGCAAGACAGTTTCTTTAGCGTGACGGCACATTACATCTAGACTGATACTTTTAATAAATGTTTGTTATGTACCTATGTTCAGTTTGTCATGGTAAAGTTCCTGTAACACATAAAATGTTTTTTCTTTAATGAATGAAATACATTATTAAAAAGCTTACTGTTTAATAAAATAGTATATTCATAAAAAAACTCAAAAATTTAAACTGTTTAATTGTTTGAATCGGGAAGAATGTCACAACGCTCATTCATTGCGCTGTGACAATAAAAGTGTTTGTTTCGCTCTCAACGCATATTGCGCTTTCAGCGCAATGTTACGATCTCAACGCATTATTGCACTATCAACGCATTGTTGTGCTGTCAACGCATTGCGCTGTCAAATAATTATTGCGCTGTCAAAGAATTATTGCGCTGCTAACCCATTAATGCGCTACTGAGTTAGCAATTTGGTGTATCAGCGCACGTAACGCACCTTGAGTATCAGCGCAATAACGCAACGCTGCGTTGCGTTACACATCATTACTAGGAACTTGATTTTTTTGTAACAGAACAGGCTTTAGCACAAAAGCAAAAATTTTACACAGAACCTGTTATTTTTTTAATTTTTCTTCTGCTTAAGCGTTTTTTCATATTTTCGTAAAAAAAACCAAAAATCTGGAATGATTAATTAATTTGTTAGAAACTATCAGACCTATCGAAAAGTAATGTATATATTTTGTTAGCTGTCATTTGCCGTATTTCATATTAAGATTGTTAAATTGGTTCGTTAAGGGACACTCAAACAGACGCGGTATTGGAAGTGCGGTACAAGGCGGTACATAACTATACTATGTACCGCCTTGTACCGCACTTCCAATACCGCGCCAGCAAAAATGTTCAATGGATGCCACTATCTGATTCCTATAAAGAATTGCTCGCTGATTCCGAAAACCGACTTAAATTTTTATTCTATTGATAAGTTTTCAAAATATTTTCTGTTTTCCGTTATTCAGTTTAAAACAAAGAGTGATTCCATCTAATCACGTATATCTTAAGGGACACTCAAACAGACGAGGTATTGGAAGTGCGGTACTAGGCGGTACATAACTATACTATGTACCGCCTTGTACCGCACTTCCAATACCGCGTCTGTTTGAGTGCCCCTTAAGATATACGTGATTAGATGGAATCACTCTTTGTTTTAAACTGAATAACGGAAAATAGAAAATATTTTGAAAACTTATCAATAGAATAAAAATTTAAGTCGATTTTCGGAATCAGCGAGCAATTCTTTATAGGAATCAGATAGTGGCATCCATTGAACATTTTTGCTGTAAACCAGGGTTTTTAAACGACTTCAACAAAAGGAGGAGGCTATCAATTCGTCGGAATATTTTTTTTATGTACATATGTTACCGCATAACTTTGGACCGCGTTAATCGATTTCTAACTCAGGGATGGTCCCAAACTAATTTGGTTTAGATCCGATCACTAGATCATAGAGAAATTAACGGTACTTTTAAATTTTTATATGAGAACTAGTAAGCCCGGGCAGACGTTGTCCTGCTACACACCGATACATAGGAAGGTTACATGCATCGTAGATAATATGGGTCTTCACACCGAAGCTTGGTACTCGGTAACTCGGTGTTCGGTATTTTTTTCCCATGTATTTTGTTTGTGTGACACTATTTCACACAAATCAAATACATTAGAAAAAAATTCCGGACAGCGAGTTACCGATTACCAAGCTCGGTGTGAAGACCCATATTGTTTCCTACGTTTCAGTTGATATCGAAATTTACAAAAGATGTTATTATTGTTCTCTACGTTTGAAAAAAAACGATCTCTGGTCAAACATCAGCCAGGGGAATGGATAACATTGGATAGTGTCCAAACGGAAAATTTTTGTTGCTGTTTATGTGCATATGGTTATGTATATGAATAAATACATATGAGGGATTCACAACGGTGTCGTAAGTGTCGTAGTGTTGTATGTCGTAAGCTTTAAAAGCTTAAATAAATGTTTAGAGAACTTGAAACGCCATCCAACTATTTTAAACACTGCAGAAATTCATAATATGACTTTGTTGGTACTTTGCGAACCACCCTAATATATTTTTAGGCGTTTAAAGTTTGCGACATACAAAAATACGACACTTACGGCACCGTTGTGAATACCCCAATAGTACATTATTTTGTTGCTATCCTACTTATGTATTTCTCCCAACTATAAACCTATATATGACGCATAGACGCGAATAACATTGGAAAACTCCCGCTTCGGATATGGACAGTTTGTAGTTAGCGTTAACGAACATAGCGACACGGAATTTTATGAACGTTGCCGGAAGCATAGAAAAAATTTCGATGAAAAAAACATTTTTTCTCAACTGTCCTGTCTTTTATAGGTCGATTATGGATGGCAATGCAACCGCAGTCGGCTTATGGGGAAAGAATCGGCCGATGCCGATGCCGATTTCATAAAAAATTACAAATAAATGTATTAATTCATAAAATGAGTTAATTTATCGGAGTTAACAAAACAAAAGAAAACAAATAATTTAGTTAATTGGCTTGTTATGCAACATTACATCCATATGTATGTATGTACATACAAAATATGTGTAAAAATATATGTACATACATACATATATCACATTTATGTACATTACATAAAACACTTTTTATATGGTACTAAGCAAGAAATATTTAGGAACATACAATTTTATTTCGTTTTGTACTAAAATATACTCTTTTGCACTCAATGCATAAGAACTTATATTCTAGGTATATATGTACATTAGGGAAGTCCAAAAATGCATGTGAAAAGTAAAGTCGGAATTTTTATGCTCTCCCCCCCTAAAATTGTTCTATAGCGAAAAAATATACCCTTATTTTTTATTTTGAAACCAAACAATATTTAGAGGTCGCTCAAAGCGCCTAAAGTTTTCCATGTATTTTGTATGGAGAAAAAACAACTTTTCATAGAAATGGTGTAGAATAGTTAAAAATCAATATTTTTCTACCAGAAAACTCTGCTTATCTGCAAGAGATTCCCAGTAATAATACCGAATTGTTAATTTAACCATTTTTTCATTGGAACTATAATTTATAGGACCGCCAAAAACCCACAAAAACCCCGAAAAATGCAATGGGGCGACCAATAAAAAATCGTTAGTATTAAAAATGGTTTAATAGACAATTGGGTATTATTATTGAAAGTCTCCTGAAGAGAACCAGAGTTTTCCGATCGAAAAATATTGACTTTCAGGAATTCTATACCATTTCTACGAAAAAATTTATTTTTCCTATATAAAAATACATAGAAACCTTTGAGCGCTTTGAGCGACCTCGAAATATGTTTTGATCAGGGACGTGAACCAGATAAAAAATTTGGTCGGTTCGGTTCAGCGGTTCCAACCGTTTTGCACTTTTGGATTGGTTCGTCAAAGCGGTTTTTTGGTCTTTGAACCGGGGTTTCGGTTCGGTTCAACGATTCGAAAAACAAAAAAATAACGCGCAAGTTTAAGTGTCAAGTGTCAAGTGCAATAGCGCGCAAAGTTAAGGGTCAAGTGTCTGTCAAATGAGATGGGTTGCCTTTACATTTGATATTGTCACATGGTAAACAAATATGGTAGGTATTACCATGTTTAACAAAAAGAAGAAAAAGTAGGTACATTTATGTATTGAAAATTGGTTGAATCGAACCATTAAACCTTTAGGAAAGTGGTTCGGTTTTCGGTTCGGATCAAACATTTGTGGAAAATTTCGGTTCGGTTAAGGGCTCAGTTAATTAATAGAAAAAATGGGGTTTCCGGTTCAAAACCGGTTCGGTTCAAACCCGGTTCACGTCCCTGGTTTTGATCTCAAAATAAAAAAATAGGGGTATACTTTTTTCGATATAGAACAATCCTAGGGGGCATTACAATTCCGACTTTACTGTTTTGGACCACCCTAATGCACATACATATATGTAGTGGTCCACAAAATAAAACAATTGCGATATTTTGACCCGTTTTGGTATTTGGCATTTGTAATTTGTTTATTTAATGTTTTCATAGAAGTCTAGCTGGTATACAACAGACACCATATAAATTCAGATTTCAAACTTTGTACAAAAATTAAAAAAATTCGGCTTATTTTCACCAAAATTTCAAACTTTTTAATCAGAATTTTGGTATACAGTTTTGTAGACCATTTAATTCTAGTATAATGACGTGCAAGTTTAAAGCTGCTATAAAATGCCGTTAATTTTTGGCAATTTTTTCTGCTGGCAGTATTCTCCATATAAAAGAAAATTGTCGAACATTTAATGTGAAATAACACAAATTTGCTTTATTTCATTTCTCGTTGAGCAACAAGACCAACTTTTAAACTTAACAATTGAGTAATAAAGCAAAATAGTCACCAGTGTTGCCATTTTAGCCCTTTTCCGGCTAGATTTAGCCGGTTGCGATAGCAAACAGCCGGAGAAATTTCGGTTTAGCCGGAAGCCGATTTGTTAGCCGATTTTGCTATTTACCTTGTTTTCTTGAAATTCAAATATATGTATGTTTTTCCATTTTCGACTAAGCGATCCAAAATCTGTTAGAAATGGCTACTAACCTTATCGCTGAANTCGTATACGCTCTACTATTTCTGTAACCTCTTGCTCATTTACGCTTTACTATGTCTTACCTTGTTTTCACTGTGAGTTGTAAAAATGTACAAAAAATACGTAATATCTTACCGTACTTTTGAGATAAATAAATATTCAATATTTAAATGGCTACTAGCCTTATCGCGGAGAAAATTTTCATGGCAGGCAGGGTTATATAAAATTGGGCCGATTTCGCTTATTTTTATTTTAAGTGAATATATTTTTTCTAAAATCTTTGTTATGAATGTCTTAAATTTATGTGTGAAGTTTTATTCGNCCATTTTCGACTAAGCGATCCAAAATCTGTTAGAAATGGCTACTAACCTTATCGCTGAAGCAGGGTTATATAAAATTGGGCTGATTTCGCTTATTTTTATTTTAAACGAATATATTTTTTCTAAAGAAGGCCGTAACGGGGATTTTCTTCATACAATTTTTGTTCTGAATGACTTAAATTTGAGTGTGAAGTTTGATTCGC